GTTAAAAAATCCAATTGACGTTATCTCAAGTTTATTCAAATACTTTCCAGATTTCAAATAAAAGCCCTTTGGAGATTTTCCAGATGACATAGTACTCAAGTACCTGAAATTTATGTCCACAATATGAAATCATAAAATACATAGCCTCAAGCCTCGAGATTTATTCTAAAGCTCAGTAGTCGTAATACAAGCTACGTACTGTAGTCAATAATATTTATTTACCAGATTTGAAGCAAAGCATCGAGTTAGATTAAACTGGAGCATTACATCAAGTACCAAAAAAATGAAAGATAATATTTTGTAAAACCAGCTGGCTTCCAGATTTCTTTTCGAACTGTAATGTATACTTATATGGAGTTTACAGTCGTCGGAAATGACGTTACGTCTTTAAAATTAAAATTTTCTGTTATGCCTTCTGTCTTCTGTCACGTTTTTCTGGTCTCCTACAACTTACAACTTATTTCAGCCCCTTGCTTCTATTTTAATTCCAGCAGCATTTTAAGTATCTCCGGAAGTCGTAGATTTAACAGGATAGAGGATACGAAGAAAGAAACGTTTGACACAATGACGAGATGAATCAACACGCGCGTCATTGTCTGCGGTATCGCTCATTTTTCAAATTTTCTCTGGCTGATGCAACCACGCGTCATTTTCATTATTTTTTTAACTTTTACTTTGTAAAAATTCTGAAGATAAGCATGGAATGATGCATAGTATTTGTTTTTTTATCAGTACATTAGTTTTGTTTAAAACTTTGTTAACTAAACGACCTTTTTTACATTTTTTTATGATGGAACTGTGTACGTGACTTAAATTAACTCACGGGTATTCATAGTGTATAGGGTCCTCTTAGTTATTCTTATTAGACGTCTTATTATTTTGACACAGCTGAGAAAAATCTGTTTTTTCTTAGACGAAATTCTATTTAATAAATGGAATAATTTACTTTGATAAATTCAATAGAATAGTTAAAAATAAATTTTCGATAGTTATTTTTTTTTCGATTGAAAATTAATAGGAAAAAATTTTTCTGATAAGTTCATATATCCCTACAATAAAAATTGGTCTTATATGGCTCCAAAAAAATTTTTTTAACAAGTTATCAAAGTAGTAAAAATTTTGAAAAAAAATTTATATTTTCATCTATTAATAATGTTTTTAGAGTTTATATTTATTTAAATTTTTTTATAAAAAAAAAAATTACTACCTCAAAGTTTCGTATCAGAAATAGAATGATTAAAAATTTTTTAAATACTTAAAAAAATTTTTTTGTAAAAAAAATTAAACCTGAGTGAATACTTAAATTTTTAGAAGTTACATTTTTGCTGAATAAATTTTTTTAAGTCCAATAAATAAGAATCAATTGAGAAAATTATCTTCTACTTTAATAAATATGAAGATAATTATTTAAAATTTATTGATTTAAAGTAAAAATTTTCTATATCAATAGCAATGACATTGAAAGCCATAAACCCGATATCGCTTAAAAAATGAAAATGCAAAAAAGGTCAGAGTATCACTTACAGCATTATAATTTACAATAAAACAAAAGTGAGCTCTCTCGTTTCCGAGATCATGTAATCTGAGTTCCGCCGGACAATAATTCCGATTCGCTCCAGCGGTCGGTTTGTACGTAAACGACAGTACAGAGTAACAGAGAATATGCAGGACGAGGTCGTTATTAAATCGGGTGCCGAGCAATCAGCGGAGGCGTTGTGCTCGTTAATCAGCAGCGATGCTTACGTACACTCGGGTACCTTAATACCCCATTATGCATGTATTATAAATAATTACTCCTCATATATATATATATATATACGAATATTATTATTAATACACGACATACGCTAGATTATAGACCTGCTACTGCTATTGCTGTGACTGTTGAAAGCAAGAAGTCAATGAAATAACCAGTGGCATAATTCAGGGTAAGATAGAGTAGAGCGGACGAATAGAAATGAGAATTATGCATTATATTAAGTGCTCGAGTGATTTAAAGCGACCATTTTTGAACACTTCTATAAACTAGCCATTAGATTACATATAACTCGTTACTAAACCGTCTATCATCGTATCTCAGCTCAATAACCAGCTTTATTTAATGTCTCATTACACCTTGAATTGACTTTTATTTTATTCCCGGCAAAACAGTCGATGATTTCATCATCAATCATTCTTTCAATTAAACAATCAATGCACTGTAAATAATTCGCTGAGTTGTTTAATTTATTTTCTTCGAGTTTTATTCATTTCAATGAAAAATTAATCAATGAAAATTCCTGAAGTAAATTCTTGAATTTTTTTTATAATATTTGAAATGAATGAAATAATTTTTCAATTGGCTGCAACATGTTTAAAATTTTTATCTAAATTACAATTAAAAAGAAAAACTTAATATTAAAATTTGAATTTCCATTAAAATAATCCACCGTATAATTATCAGCATAAAATTCTAATTAATTAAAATAGTCTTTTGATTAATTTGATCCATTAATTTTGAATAAATCACAAATTTAAAAAAAAAATGAGGTAATTTAATAAAAAAAAATTTTTTTTAATTGTTAAAAGTGATAATTGATAAAAATTCTATTTAAAAACGCGATTATTTGATATTCCTCGTGTGGTTAGTCATGAGTATTTGCTCTCAAAGTTTTCTTTCAAACAATAATTGAGTAAAGAGTCAAAGACACTTGGTACAGAACACGTTATTTAAAACTTGACATTATACTACTTTTCTCGTGATAAACAAATATATTTAAGCACACGCATGCCTCCAGTCACGCAATACTCATCATCACGTGTATACACATAACAGTTATAAGTGGGAATACAAAATGCATCAATGAGACACTTCCTATTATGTACGTTTTATGTATAGAGGATTCACTACTGACTAATGACACTAATATAACCGTGTCAAGTGCCCTAACAAGTGTCTTGTAAGGGACTCAACTCACTCACTCTTCTTATATTTATTTTATTTTATACATGTACATGTACTTTTTATTGTATTTAGTTTGCTAAATTATTTCACTCGGTTATCACTTAGCGTTCTGAATACATTAAATATAAATAGCCCTGACGAATCAATTTTTAAGCTTTTATTTTCAAATCTCTAGTTGACATTAATCAGATAAATTTTGCTTACGCTAAATGCTAAATTTGTTGTGCAATAATTTTATTTATCGAGATGTTTTTTTCATTCCATATCATTATAATAAATAATCATTAATAGTGGTATAATTAAATTTATTTATACATAAAAATTTTAAATTGGGTTGTCATTTTTATGTCAATGCCAAAACTAAAAAAATTTTCCATGTATTTTTTTATTATTAAATTATTTATTCAATTTTTTTTAAAATAAATTAAAAGTACTGTAAAAAAATCGGGAGTGAATTTTACTCCGCATTCACTCTCATCATTCAAAATACCGGAATTAATTAATTAAACACAGCGTATAAAATGAATCTAGAGTTTTTTTTCAGCGGACTAATTTCGTGATAATTTTGGAGTAAATCTGGATTTTAAAATAAATTTTTATTTAATTAATTTTATGTGCCAAATTTTTTTTTTTTCCGTATTTTAATTTAATAAAATTAAAACTTAATATCTTTGACACTAAATAATTTTTTTTCGATCATCAAAAATTAGCTTAAAAAAAATTCCTATAAAATTAAACTGTACTTTTCATGTTATAGTAGATTAATTGACTGTAACAAGTTGATTTATAAAAAAGTACAAGTTATGTAACTACTTTCCAAAAATAAAACTCATGATAATGAAAATGAATAATGATTGATGATAAAAATAATAAATAACCAGCATTCGTTCGGTGTGATAAATACACCGATATAAATACGATGATACTACTAAATAAATTTAATAAAACTCTTCACATACTGAGCGAAGTTCGATATATTAATATACATTGATGTTGGTATTAATGTTTGTAATCCGAGTACTGGCACGAGTCTTGCGATATGGACTTTCAAGTCTACGAGTATGTAAAATAAAAATTATATTTAATTAAATGAAATGAAAGGATCGAGTGCCATAGAAGGAGTAATCGTAGTATTTGTAGTATGTATATTTATATAAGTACACATGAATAGTTTATAGTAAATAGTATGTAGTACGGAGTATGTAGAAATGGTGTGTACTATAATACTACGGATGCTTACGCAATATAAGGAATACCGTTTTCTTATGATCACACGCTTTATATCGCGACACTAGAAATTTATTAGAAATTTACTTTTACTTTAAATTTTATTTTATTTTTAAAAATGTTCATATCAATAATTTTTTAATGTCAAAATTTTACAAGTAAAAATCATTAAAACTTTATTCATTACAAACTAATTTTTAAAATTATTCGTATAAATACTTATATATCCGCAGAACTTTTCCCAGCCCATTTCGACGTTTTCAGTACAGGCTAAATAAAAGTTATCCGACTTATAAGTACAATTTCCTGTAGAAGTCAAGTCATGCAACTGAAAATTCCTCACGAGGCACTTATCGAACTTGTATAATCTCTTTTAACGACAGTACTTATACAGTTGACAGCTCGCGGATACAGTAGATAATCATAACAATAATAATAACACAGTATAAAAATTATTCGTAGAAATAAAAGACTAATATTATAAAAATAAAAATCCTTCGTGAAAATTACACAAGAAATAATACAATAATCCTTAATAAAATGTACACAAAATAGGAATTTACTCATTAAAGTCATAAATATCTATTCAAATATTAAATAGACAACTTTGATAAAAAATTTAATCTTCTACAAAAAAAGTCTCGTGATTTTTTCATATCTATATTATTTAAGCTAGACTTTCTGCGTAATTACAACATCTCATTATTCTGTAAAGTTAAAAAAATAAATGCAAAAGACTAGATTTAAACAAAACGCCAAAAAAGCACACCAACGCACCGCGTTCAAGGTGTGCAAAAATAATTTTGACCTTATCAACTTATGTATTTATTCAAGCCTGTTTAAGAGGTTCATTTTCAGGCGACAAACTCTTCAACTGTCTTAACCGTTCAGCTTTTCTTTCTTCCAAATCGTAAGCCAACTTTTCTAGGAGTTCTTTGAAGACATAATTGTCCAAATTTTTAGCAAGGTAGTAGAGGAAGAGCCAGTCTCCGTAATAGTAATCGTGGGTTAGTTTCAGAACATTCCAGGGGTTGTACTTTCCGGGACAGGCTACGGAAAATATGTAGCGATTGAACGCGATGCTTCTGTAAATAGAAATAAACATGATAGATGATATTAATTTAATGACTAAAATTAATAAAAAATGTAAATGAACGTAAGTAAATTACCTTGAGTGTAATAACATGGTTAGCATCCGCCAGACGAGGCCAAGGCCCGTGACGATAGCCAATATGATGAACCAAAACCATAGAAAAATGTAGATTTTTTCATTAATGATGTTGAGTGCCATAACGCAGAGTGCGTCGTGTTGCTGGATCGTTCCGGAGGGACCGTATTTGTGAAATGTACACTTTGTTACCTTGGGAAATACAATATCGAGCGGTGTCATTTTATCACCCGGCGAGTGTTCGAATTGTGTCGTCGTGAGACCTAGATCCAGGAATGCGCCACCCAGAAATGCATCCGTTATGTAAATTTGCACGAGTACGTTCGTGAAATTTATTAACTCGCAAAAACTCATGTAGTACGCCCAGGGGCGGTTTATGTGCAGCCGGTTTAAAAATGCGTTTCTTATTTGCTGGATTTTCTCGTCCCGGTCCCGTTTTGAGGGTATTGTTCTTCCGCCTTCTAGCTGTGTTTTCTCCTCGTGGAGGGCTAAAGTCGCCAGATGGAGACCTGAGACCAATGCCTTCATTCTACCACCTGAAATTTTGAAAATTGAATTTCAATTTTTGATCCTAATATTTAGATTAAGAATTAATTATTTTTAATTAACCAAATATTTGAACTTTGGATTTTTATTCCAAAATTTATCCAAATAATTTTACAACTCTTTTTAAACTCAAAATGTACCCATAAAAAAATTTTCTGATATTACCTGACAAGTCTAAAAAATATATATAAAGATATAAAAATTGGCCATATCAAAAAATTTCTTTTTAAGAATTATTAAAACGTTGAATTTTAAAAAATCAATAATAAAATCATTTAGAAATTTGAACTTTATAATTTTTAATTTAAAAATGAAAAGTTAAAATTTGAAAGTTAACTTAATAATAAGTCGCTATAATATTTGAAGACTTTAAATTTATTTTTTTTTAATTTGAATTTTTTAAAAAACATAAAAAAAAATGATTTAGAACATATGAAATTTTATTAAAAAAATTTTGAACTTAAAAATCATTTCTATAAATATGGAGGTAGTCATAACAGTAAACAATAAATTTGGTTAAACGATAAATTAAAATATCCGGTGAATTTGTCATGAATAATTTTTCTCAGTACAATCAATAAAACTAATTGAAAATGAATCATGTTCAGACAACAATTGAATCACTCCTGAATTATTAAAACTCCAATCGGTATTATTTCGCTTAAAATAAAAATACCAAGAATAGAACACATTGAATGTCAACAGAACAAAAATCTAATCTGATCAGATATGAAAATAATGAATTTTTACAATAGTACCTTCTGCGTTTCTCCAAAGATAACGCGGAATATAAAAAAGCAGCGCTTGAAAAAACAGCACAAACGGAACCCACTGATAATAAACGTGGTGCGTGATTTCATCGTCTTTGGTGAATGGTCCAACACCTGGGTGAGGTATGTGTCCCAGTTCGACTAGTGTCTTATTCATGTGTTTAGACTGTAAAACAAACATAGCTATAAAGAGAACAGAACCGATAAATAATAAATAAACATTTTTATTTATACTTATAGATTTTAATGACTTTGTCACAGTTACAGATCGTTAACTTTTAACATACTAATTATCAATCATACTTACAACAGTGTACGTCGACGTGAAAAAACAAAACGTATCCACCACATTGCTCGGTAGCGATCCTTTGTCAATAATACATCTTTTAAAAAATAATAACAATTATAGATTTTTATTGGTCAATTGTTTCGATTTAAGTTAGCTTATACTTTGATCGCAAATTTAACTTTTAATGACTTTTACCTTGGCAATGATAAATAATTAATTAAAGGAAATTTATGTTTCATTATTTATTTAGCATGTCTTTGTATTTTTTATCAAAAATTTTGGAATTTTTACTTTTAACTAACTTCCAAACTTATTTTTTAATCTTTATAAAATAACTTTAAAATTCAAATTAAAAAAAAAAAAAATTTTTTTTTCAATTATATTTTTTTTCATTCGAAATTTTTTAATAATTGTTTCTAAATTTTTTAAAATGTCTAAATTTTTATTAGAGAAAAATTTTACAAATTTAATTAAAAAAAGAAATTACATACTTAATATGTTCGCCAAAAAATTGCCGTGCAGATACAAGTAAGGAACCACTAACAAGTATTAAAAAAGTAGCACGATAGTGAAGCCTAAAAACTGAAAAAAAAAATTAAAAATTTTGATTAATAAAAAATTTTAATTAAAAAAAATAGCAATAATTGTTATTAATTATTAGTATAAATTATAATTGATGAAATAAAACGAAATAATAATTCCCACGGCATTGGAATATAGAACCTCGAACTTATATCAAGCCGGTTAATTGAACTCATGTGTCGTATTTTTCTAATCAATTCCAATTCTGAATTAATTGTTTTAAGTAGGTCGTGACTTGGCTGCGAATAGAAATAATATACTTAAACATATTATATACAGTTAGGTACATTGTGTAATCATCGCAACCAAAACCAATAACGTACGTAAACACATATTGTTATTTACACATGTGTTATATTTTTCAAAAAAGTTTAAACTTAGTAATTCAATTTAAATTTTATTAGTTACATAAGAAAATTTTATTAAAATTCACCAATATTGTCGATCACCGCGTTGTCCTCGGTATATTTCAACTTGAGATGATCCTTGAGAACGGAAAATGTTCCAAGAATGGAAGCCATTTTTTTTTCTATGTGTATACAAGTAAACAAATAAGTATAGATTGTTAACAACAAATAATTTCGGTAGACCTGGATCTAAGCTCGCGTGAGTTCCCACTGACTGTTAAAGTCTTTAATAAAACGGTCGTATTCTTATCACTAAACATTTAACTTAACTGTGTATCTATACTCACGCGGGTTGTGCAAGATACAACCAAACACGTCTTTTACTAGAAGAAATATAATATAAATGATGGATTGGGAGGGATGACATTACGGAGTCTTCTTTTTTGTTTTATATTCCTTTAGATAGCTTCTGATAACAATAGATAAACAACTGAATAAGAAAATTTCGCTTATTAAATTTTTTTTTAAACTCAATTTTCTCAAAAATGGATTCAAGAATTTCTAATAATAATAAAATTAGTTTAACTCACAAAAAATATTTTTAAAAACAAAAATGAAGACTTAAAAAACTTCAAGTATTTTTATTATTATTATTAAATTTTTTTTTTATGAGTTTTCATTTTTTTAACTTAAAAAATAATTTTTAAATAAAATTAGGACCGTCAAAATTTTAATCATTAATTTTTTTGTGCGTAATCAAAAAATTCTTAATTATCGATGAATAATCAAACTACGTATTACAAAGATACAAAAACACATTTATTAATCCATAAAAAATATCAAATAATCTGAACTAATTAACACTCATTCGTCATTACTAATTACTCACGTATACACATCGAAAAAATGAATAATCAAAACTAAAATTAAAACAAGAACACTTTATTTCAAAACAAAAAAATAATAATCTTATATTAAGTCGTCAAATAATAAGTAATTAATGACAAATTGGTCGTTATAAATAATAGATTAATAAACTCGATTTAATTCCGTCTGACATAAATCAACACAAGTATATTTTTTATCTTACATACATGATAAAACGTATTTTTCCTACTTTCATTTAATATAATAAGAAGGAATAACGGAATTTTTCGTTATCACCTCCACGATTTACTTATATTATATCCTCAAAATTTTATACTACAAACGACAAGTTTCTCTTCTATTTTTTTTATTTTGTATTACGTAAATGATAAGCGCCGGTACAGTGCCACAGAATTAACTTTTTGTCTACATAAATATTTAGTTTACTATCCAATAAATCACCTTATTTGTACAACCTGGTTTTCTCAATATCTTACCAAGTTTTTTGTAATAATCTCATTATTAACTAATCAATTATTATTGATTAATGATCACGGATTTTGATAATCTTGTTCACATACTCACAAATAAAAATTTATTATTTACTCTGTAGTTTGTAGTTGTATTATATTACATAAAATTGTAAATTAAAACACTTAATTCAGAGATTACTAAAAATTTCTTAGAGCCTTGATAACAATAATTTATTTAATGCGTAGTGTAATAAAAATATTACACTCTATCGCTTTATTTTTATTATTTATTTAAAAGTTAACGCAAAAATAATCTTTCATAGTATTGAATTTTAATAAAAATAAAGTCTATTTTAAAAATTAACTTGAAAATAAAATACCATCAATATTATTGAATTTCTAAATCCAATACATTAAATATTAAATCTAAGAACTTTGTTAAAAAATTCTTTAAAAAAATTTAATACATAATTTGATGGAAATTTTTTCACTTTAGATGAGTTTTTTATTTTTTTAATTTGACTCTTAATTTTATACCCGACGAATTTATTAAAAAATTCAAAATAAACTAGTGATCTTTCAAAATGTGAAATGTCAAGTTAACTTTTCTTATTTCTCACAAAAACCGACAGTAACTAAACCGAGAAAAACTCGAGATTTACATCTATAAATTTTTCTGTGTCACTAAAAATCAAGCTTTAAAAATGACCTGGAAACTGGAGACTTTTATTTAAGAGAAAAGAATTTTCGGGATTTAGATTTAGAGGTGTGATTTCTTCTGATAAGTGGTACCGGTTTTGATTCGAAAGTTATGTGATAAAAAATAGAGAGATGAAGACTTTTAACTTTTGAAGTATAAAACTTCATTTTTATAAGACCAAAACTCAAAAGATTTTTTAATTTAATTATAAAATTTTTTTTCAAGCCTTATTTAAAAATTATCATAAGTAATACACGTATATCAGAATCAATAAATCGACTATCATCTTCTCAAATAGATAAACAAACTTGACTTATTTTTTTTTATATATTGTATTTTCTATTAGGGCTACCAGATATTATACTGATATTTTATATTTTTATACAAGTCCTAAAAAACAATTTTTAAATACAGTACAAGGCAAAAAAAATAAATAGGTAATTTTTTAAATTAGACAAATAAAAATTTACAATGATAATCCAAGCTCTTTAACTAATTTAATAAAAAATTTATCAGCAAAAATTTCAAGCCATAAATTACCCTGAAATAAAATTAATTTAAAATTAAAAATTCGAATGGAGCGACTATTCAAATGACAGTGTGATACCTCTGGCTATCATTAAAATAAAAACCAAATAAAACTCGTGAATAATTCAGAATAAAATTTCAATGACTAAAAATAACATTAAATAGATGTAAATCTGATTACTATTCCAATCTCTCCGCTAAAACAACCTGTGAATAATAGAATGTCTGTCACTCTATGTACTTCTTCTACATACTTAGAGCAAACTCCTGAACTAGAGAATCGGCATAAATCCCAAGCACAAGTGAAAACAACCAACATCAACATTCGATTGTATTGGTGTCATTGAAGTCACCAGCGAGACCCATATAAATTAAGTTCTTCAGTAATGGTGTAAGTAAATAAGTATATAAGTATATATTTATATTGTAAAAGATGTTCCTGTACCGCGTTGATCGCGTCGTATCGTTACCCAGTAAAGTACAGTATGTATAAGGACTTTGACCGGACATTGCCCCCGTATATGCCGTCCGCGGTCGTGCAACCACGCGGACATTCTTGTTCCAAAGTAAAGGGTCGCTTCGTTCTCCTCTACCTCATCATCTACCTCCTCGCCTACGCCATTTACGTTCTTGGTTTCATTCTCTATTTACATATATAATAATAACAATTAAAATAATAATAAAAATAATCTGGATACTCAAATGCTCCCGAGAATTTTTTTTCTCTCTTACATATTAATACAAATACTAATACTTACTATAAGTTCAGTATATTTTATATTTTGTCCCTTCAGACATCTTCTCCACCTGAATGATCTCACTCATATTATTAATATCATCGGCTTATATTAATATCACCAACACGCAAATCCCTTTACCTTTACCTTCATTCTTCTTCTTCTTCTTCTTCTTCTTCTTTTTCTTCTATTGGAAGGTGGTAGTATTCCATCTGAAATTCCGTTTATTTTTTAAACTTATTAATTCTTAAATTTTTTAATCGAATATGAAGCTCTAGCTAGAGCTCTGCTTCAATATTTTATATTGCGTCTAAATATAGCGAAGCTGATAAAATTGCCCGTTCAGGTAGAAATTTAGCTAATCTAGAAAAAAAATACGAGGTATAGCACCTTCTGCTCGGCGACCAACCGCTTTAAAATAAACTCGGTCGGTATATTCATGATGCACATGCCTTTGTATGCTTCACATGCTCAATGAGTTTTTTTTTTAATTAACATTGATTTTTTACGTTTTTCAGGGTATTGATATAGATTTTGTTTTTTATTTTCTTGCTAATCATTAACTATAATCAAACTGAAAATTTATTTTTGTATATTAAAAAAAAATATTATTGAATAATTTTAATAAAAAATTTTGAGCTGCCAAAAAAAAATTAAAATTGGTTTAAATTTACAATTTTAAAAATTATAAAAAACAACAATGTTATAAAATATGTGATTTGATGAATAGTTTAAAATATTTTTAACATCTAAAATAATTTCACACGTTTTTTAAAGTAATGAAATAGTATTCAAAGATTTTTCAACACTAAAATTACATAAAAATTATGTAACCATAAAAGTAATAAAAAATTCAATCAAAAACTCTAAAATACATGACTTGAAAGTAGAATCACGTAATCGACCCCTCGACCTAGTCATTGAAGCATGATTGAAGGTCAATCTGCTTCATGGACCCCCGATAAATTTTATAACCGCTCTGTAATTGAAAAATTATTTTCAGCGATAATAATATTTCCGCTAAATATATTAACATTACATGCACTTATTCTAAATACAGTAAAAGGATGGGAAGAAAATATAAGATAAAATAAATTTTTTCTATACTATAGTATACTAGGCGTTTTATTTGATTTCTCATCACTTTGCTTTGTTCTATTCATATCATCTTCATATCATATCAACAAACTTTCTTTCTCCTTAAACACTGTACAATTCGTATTTCTTTATTAACAATCTATTACTTTATTGTCATTATTACACCAGATATAATTATTTTATTTCGTCAGTACAATTTTATAAAATACTAATTTCGCAAAAAAATATAATTTTAATACAATATTAAATTTACAATATTTATCAATCGATTAATTATTTTTATGACAGAAAAAAATCTTACGCTTTTGTTCAAAAGTTTTTATTAAAAGTTGAAGTCTTATAAGATTATTATATTTTAAAAAACAATTGACAATTATCGTTGACTCTATCACATTGATTTGCTCAAGTACAGATTTACACAATCTGAGCACGCTATATTTTATCACTACATTATTTATCAGAAAGTTACGATGACATTATCATATATTTTTATACCTATGATAATATTAATTAATTAATAATAATATAATAATAATTAATATATTTACTATTCTAAATTTAATAACAATTCCAAAATTGGTCCCTTAATTCTCAAGTGATAGAAAAATTAAATTTATATATAAATATGGCAGTCTTATTTTGAGCTAAAATTTATTAATTGCCAATTCAGTAGCAAGTTAACAAGAATCAAAATGTCGCGAGTGAAAAAAAAGAAAGAAATAATAATAATTATTATTTAATATGATATAAAATATATATTTAATATTTATATATATTTATTATTTATTGTTGCTATTGTTTGCTAAGTCTTAAAATCTGGCTTGATTATTCATTATTTAATAATGATAGTTATTTATTTAATTCCTAATAAAATTTATAATAATTATATATGTATAGGCAAAATAGGCAGCTAATGATAAACTGCAATAATCCCGATTTTATTATTTAATACATTTTTTGTTATTTTTATTTTTTTATAATTATTATTCTTAGAAAAATTTAATGAGGACGGTTAAATGCAGAGGCAGTTTTATTATCAGGCATGAAGATGATGTCCAATTATTTTATGATTCATTTATTTTATATATTTTATTATAAGAGATTAAATACTTCACTACCCTGGAATGAATTTTTTATGTCTTTTTTAGATAATTATTATTTATTTATTATATCTACAAATTTTAATATAGCTTTTTATTTTTTTGTTGCTTTTAAGGCTTTTTAATAATACTTAAGTTTGGTGTTAAAATTTAACAATTAACATTTTTGTGCGTTTAAATTAACAAAAATTTTTTTTTAATTACTCAAAAATATAATTTTCTGCGAGTTAATTTAAAAAAAAATTTCTTTGTAATAATTTATCAAAAAAAAATTATCCACCCACCAAACTTTAGTAATAAAAAAAAAAAAAAAAAAAAGAACCTCAACAAAAAAAAATTATTTATTGAAATAAACTGAAAAATTGTCAGATCAATTATTATTATTATTAATTAATTACTAAATGTAATAGCTGTAAAAAAGATACTTATTACAGTTGGTAGAATGGAAGTAATGCTATCGGGAGGACGGCGTCAATTTATTTAAACATAAGTTAAAGTTAGTGATGTTAATTTCCGAGTTACATTTATAAAAAAAATATCGTATAAATTACAACTACAAAGTTTTCAATCGATCAATTTTGTATTTTTTAGCTGTGTTTGAATAAGTGTGTAGAGTGTAAAGTATGCCGGTGTATGCTCAGGTATCTGAACAAAAAAGCATACCGATGAACAAAGGTATCGGCATATGGTACGAGTCGTTATTTTATTCAGTATATTGTCTCGTACCCTTGAACTTTCACTATTTCCTTATTGTAGTAAGACTACAATACTATTATTACTATTGTCCATGTGTCTGTTTTTCTATCTAGAGTCTGGGGATTTATAATAAATTTTAGGAAACAATTGTTCAAATAGATTTCATCTGTGCTAGAAAATTTTATCGATTGGAAATTACTATTTGACAATTATTATTTCCTTATCTAAAAAATTTCTTTATCTTCAAATTTTGTGATCAATTCTAAGTAAAAAAATTTTTCAACAGACTCAACAATTTTTATCTATAAAAAAAATTAAATATTAATCAAACAATTAAAAACTTGCTCTTTAATTTTATAAAAACTATATTGCAAATTTTTAATTCTTAAAAAAAATTAACATTACTAAAATTATAAAAAAAAGAAATTTGTTTTTTCATTAAAAAATTAAAATATATTCAAAAAATTCCCTGTAGTATTAAAAAAAAAATCCCAACCCGACTTACAAAATCAATTATAAAAAAAATCTCCAGCGAAACGATCCATAAAAAAAGTAAAGATACATTACAAACTCCGACCATATCGAATCCCGCTAATTTGAAGGGCAAAGCAATCTCCAAAGTAGAATAATAATAAGAAAAGTACCGTGCAGATCAAAGGCACTCACAAGACTTAAGAGAAAAAAAAAAAAAAAAACAGCAATGGCAGAAAAAATTCCGACGCCGTCCGCCTCTTATCACACAATTAGAGTCGCCGCGACCCAAATTGTCATAATATAAAATCTTATTAAAATTAAAAACAACCCTTCTTCTCAAAACCAAATATTATTACCAAATCTAAATTCGGGCCGCGACAAACGTCCAATCATATAAATAAAATCATTTTCATAATCTCGTATTATTATAATAATTTTAACTCCCTTATTCTAAAGTCTTCTAGCCCTAAACACTCTCTTTTCCCTCGAATCTCGTGGCCAGATCGGTAATCAGCTGCTTGAACACCAGAGGATCGATATTTTTCCCCAATTGGTAGAGAACAAACCAGTCTCCGATCTGGAATCTGTTGGATATCGTCTGGATTTCGCTCTGGGAAGAAATGCGAGACCTGGCCCGAAGAATCATCAGCCTCAATTTTGGAAGAAGAACCACCGCAAGGCGATAAAGAAGACTCAGTCCGCTGATCACCGACAGGATGATGAACCAGAACCAGAGGAACACGTAGATCTTCTCATTGACGATGTTCAGCGGAAGAACGCAGAGTCCATCGAACTTCTGGACCGTTCCTGAAGCTCCGTATTTGTGGAACGTGCACTTGGTCACTTTCGGAAAAACCCTGGCCATCGGATCTTCTCTTTCTTCGGGCTCCATCTCGGTGAACCTCACGACATCTCGTCCGTAAGTGGAGAACTCTCCGTCCAAAAAGTAGTCCATAAAATAGATCTGCCCCACGACGTTGATGAAGTTAAGAATCTCGCAGAAAAAGAACCTATAAGCGTACAAATTCTGCGTGTGCAGATTGGTCCTGAAGTAGTCGACGAGAAGTTTGCTGCGTTCAGTTTTGCTGGAGTCGGTGACGATCGGGCAGTTGAGGTCCAGGACGAGCATCTTCAGTCTTCCGTTCTCCCAGGTCTTCCAGAGGTACCGCGGAACGTAGAACAGTATCGCCTGGAAAAAGAGGGCGAAGCACACCCACTGGTAGTATTTGTGGTACTTAACTTTGTCGGTGCCCTCGACATGACTCGCTACTCCCTGCTGAACAACGTCCCTGCCGATAATTCCGAACCGATCTGGAACTGTGAAGGTTGAGTAGATCCAGCAGTAGGTGTCCATCACATTCAACGGAATTTCGTCGACGATACAGTCGATCGGGTCCCCGATGTACTGCCGGGAGGTCACGAGCAGGGAGAACGCGATCAGCAGGATCACCGTTCCTTTGTAGTGCAACCGAAATACATTGTTGTCAATGTTCACTTGGTCGAGCTTGAGCAAGCCCCGAACTGATCCGAAAACATCAAACATTGTTTGGTTTATTTATTTTTTCTAAATAAATAAATACTAGTTTAAAACTTCACTTCACACTCCGGATTTGAATCCGGTTTCGCGGTTTTTTTCTGCGCAGAACTCCCGATTTTTTCACTTTTTTATTAACCACTCCAATTGGATAAATTAAAAAAAATTTTTATTTTTAAATTAATAAAGTAAGTAATTTATTTACTTTGTTTTTTATGTCTATTTTTTTATAAATAATTTGTTTGAAAATGTTGCTCAAAAAAGAAAAGCAGAGAGCGTTTCTCCTCGGGGTTCGCTTGTACGCTCTCGCGATCTACGGGCGTTGGGGACTGAGCGGCTGTCCGATGCGACGGGACTCTCTCCCTCTCGCCTCTCACTATTTTGTCTTTGTCGTGCATTTTTTATTAAAAAGTACTTCTCTCTTGGCGGCGTGCAATAAGGATGAGAATGAAACCCCCCGTCGTTGTCTTCCCCACTCGCAAGCCCCAGCCCCCCATCATACTCCGCTTTACTTTTCGAACCCCACGTTCAGATTTCCCCCACATTTGCCGCGTTAAACACCAAGAACTCCCGCTTCGGAAGACTCCGGAGAGCTTCGGAGAGACTCGTAGTGCTTCGGTTGATATCGGGTGCGAGAAATCGCGATTGAGCATGCGCAATTGGAGGTTTGTTGCTATGGCAACCTTTTTAAGTTTCAGAAGTATAGTTTATGCCGGGTTTTATGGTATATTATTATTGCTGGGGATTTCATTGGATAGCTCTTTCTTAATCGGTATCGCTTACTCACTCTTACTCACTGTCCTACTCATTGTTTCCAAATAATTCTCATTTGTTACATTATCAAAGTCTCTAAATCGCGGTACTGGGAATCTTCGGGGTTTTGTTGCCTTTTTTTTTTTTGCGTCTTTACTTGTGGGAAGAAAGTATTGTATAATGAGGGATAAGAGACATCAATCTTTGAAATTTGATACCGACAAATGTATTGTTGATTTTTTTTTTCATATTTTTTTTTATTTATGCAGTAAATGATCGGCCAAAATTGTCAGGAAATTCTTGGGGGAACCATGGAAGACTTTATGTACTTGTATTGGAGAATTTTATGCTCCAATCACGGTGTATATTGAGAAAAAAATAATAAATGAGATCCGGTCGGGAATTAAGTACTATAGGGCTATGAAATATTTTATTATCTTGAAAGCTGGAATGAATATTGAATAAAATTTTGAAATATCTTTTTTTAATATTTTTATTTTTTATTTATTAGTTGTAATTTTTTTAAATCGATTTTCTCCGAAATGAACTAAAAAAAATAATAATAAATTCTAAGTTTTGATTGTTCATCATTCCAATGCGTAAATATGATTAATTATTAATTAGATTAAACTAGCTGATGATTTTTTTACTATTACAAAATGTATTTTTTATCTTTGTAATGCGTACTTTGATTACTTATCGATAATTAAAAAATTTTTTGTTACAAACAACATGAAAATTAATTATAATATTAACTAAAAACTATTTTGTCTTTTTACAAAAACAAATTACTCATTTTTTTATTTATATTTATAAATAATTCTAATAAATTTATATCAAAGATTTTATGCATCTAAAAAAAAAAAATAAGAATATTTTGTATTGTACACTTTTACGGCGGAACAATACAAAGTAACTTTTATAATTTAATACAACACAATCTGGTGTAAGCAATCACTAATAACAAAATAAGGGGTGTAGGAGAGTAATTTCTCGGAAATGGCATTCTCCCACCAGCCTTTCATTCTGTTAAACGTATAGCGTATATAATATAACTTATAACATATAACATATGCACTGTTGTGTTACTATATACAAGTATTTTATTTGTATTTAGGACGAACTCATTCTATAAGCGACCAACAATCAGTTTGTCGTTTATTTGTAATATAAGCAGCTTCAATGTTTGTTGATATGTCGAGGTTAATTAGTCTAAGCATTGATCCCTTTTCATCTTAATTTTTTGTATTTGCAATATTTTATAACTTCAATATTCTCAAAATAATTATTTAATATTTGATAATTATTTAATTATAATTAAACTTCACAATTTTTCAACCCTCAAAAATTAAAATTTTTTTTTCAAATTCATAAAAGTAGAAAAATATCAATTTTTAGAGAAGAAAAATTTTTTCTTAAATTATTTTCATTTAATATAAAAATTTGACTTTAAAATTTTAATTTTTTATCCAAAAATAAAAGAACCAAATAATTTAACATTCGCAAAGTTTTTTTTTTTATTTACATTCAGTCAAAAAAAGAAAAAAAAAACATTTTTCTTTTCCTCTTCCGTTTCCTTTGTGCTCAAAACTAACAAGATACATAGTAGCGATAATATAACACCACTAGTTTGTAGTGACGGTGCATGGAAAATGATGTTCCTGGCTGTGGCAGTTTTTAAGATGATTCATGGCGTTTAAAAGATTTCCAGATAGAGATCTTCCATTGGTCCTTCACGGCCAGGTGAAAACATTTACAGTTTTCCTGGAATTTTTCGGCAGCTTAAATTTTTACCCTAGTATTTAAAAACTGCCTAAATCTACCAAATAAATAAACCAAAAGCTTGTATTACTGAATTACGCTACTGCATCTCTCTACAAAATATAAGATTGATATACTATATTTAGTATTTGATCATTCTTTATTTTGTTCAATCTCGACTTCTCTAAAAAACAAATAAAAACAGACGAGCAACGACCACACACGAGTGTATCGAGACGAATCGTAATCTCATATCATACACGGGCCATGTAGGTCATAAATGCGCGTAGAGTCTGGCCCGTAATTATTATGCAGTGCATAATAATGAGAGAATCGCGAACGGCATGGGTATCTTGTAGATTACAGTAAACTCCTTTTGATATTTCAATGGGGCTTACACTCACACTTACACTTGCAATCCATTACAATGTGTGTAATATCTGCTGCATGGATGTAATATTAATGCTTAGTTGCGAAAGTTGTACGCTGGATTTTTATTATCTATTATAAAGATCATACACCACCGGAGGGGTATTGTATATTATAGTACACAGTATATTGTCGGATTGTAGATAGATGGATTACGTTTAAGCTATAATAATAAAATCCTCGAGTTTATCTCCTGAAAATCTATTACTTATAATTATATGGCCTACACTTGATATTACTTTTGTATACTTTATACCGTTTGATATGTAATGTTATGTGTAATATGTAGTATGTCATTGAGCCAATCAGCGGTAAATATTCTACGTACTAATTACATTTTTTTTTAGTTATCTGGTGTATTTATTGTATTTATTTTCGTGGCATATGCATACGGTATTTTACTCTGACTTTATATTTTTCAAAAGTTATTATCTGTTGGATAATTAATTTATTATCAATATTATGACTTTTAAATTATGTGTTACATACTTAACTTACTAATTTTATGAATAGTTTAATTTTATTTTCAATAATTGTTTTTATGTACATGAAAATTTTTTTTAAAGAAAAATAAAATTTATTAAAGAATTTATTAATTTTATAATAAAAAAAAAAATAGTTCTTAATTACTTGACCTTGATTATTCAAGCATTAATAAATTCAATATATACTATCAACAATTATTGTGACGCACGCTAATTAAAACATAAGTCGTATAGAAATCCAAAGTTTGAACATCAAAATAATTAACCAGTTAAATAGAAACTTTTGCAATATTCCATTCCAATAAAGTTGAATTTAAATAACAATGAGACACGTGGTTTACCCCTGGAATTTAAAGTCCCAAGGTTAATAATAATTTTATATTAGAAATGATATTTGATATTTATTTTCCTCAGAAACCGACAATTTTTTCATATTACTTTTTAAATAAGCTACGAGTGAAAATATTTTTCTTGCATGTCAAGAAATAATTCAAGGGCTTTTAATATTTAATACCTCTGCAAAAATAATTTCAGACATCCTTTTATTAACAGTGATAAAGTAGCAAGAAATTATCTTTTATATTTTATTATCAGCTTCCGGGTAAATTTATCGAGCATCACATCTATTGTTTAAAGAAAATTTTTATTCTAATAAGTTTTATAGATGTTTTTCAAATAAAAATTGTTTTTTTTTTTACAAAATAAATAATATATTAGAATAATGTTGAGATTTTTATAAATTCTTTATTTCAACAAATATAATCAAACGAAATTAAAAATATTTAAGACATATATTTATTTGTATACATGTATGAAAATTTATTTTACATTAGTAGATTTTATTAATTAACTTTACGGTATTTGCTGGAATTTTTTATAAGAATTCAGTATTTATTAAAAACACTTCTTGTTTAGATATAATATAAATGATATAAAAAACTGTAAAAAATAGTAATACACTGAAAAAATACCTTACAATTCATATTATAAATTCTTAACTTTAATAATTCATTACCAATATAACTGATTAGTATAATAAATCATAAAGAAAAAAAAGTGTGCGATCCTGCCAGGATTCGAACCTGGAATCTTCTGATCCGTAGTCAGACGCGTTATCCGTTGCGCCACAGGACCCTTCGAAAAGTGAGCCCTCGAGTTTGCTATAAATATTGCGACCTTCTCCATACCTTTTGCCTTGAACATTCCTGTATTATATTGAAATTGAGATTGAGTCAACGCTACAAACTACAAACAGGACGATTAATCAATAGAGATAAATAATAGACGTATACATAATCATTCAGATGTCGGACGCTTGCGAACTTCTCGCTGGCTAATGCCTTGAATAAATTTAACCATTTGCTTAATAATGACCGGGAATATGAAACAGAAAAAAATAAATGATAATATTGATGATGGAGGGATCGAGTCAATTATTTATGATTAATCAGTATTGATTTAGCGTTTGTGGTTTCTATTATATTGAAAATAATGATCGTCATGTTAATGCTTAATCACGCTTAAAACGATACTGACATATTTCACACGGTTTATTGTGTTTCATTTAATTTGTTTTTTTTT